AATCGAATGGAAAAGTTCAGAATTGTGTGTTTGCGAATACCTTGGCACACAAGCCTCACGAAGCCTCTAATGAGACGATAATGAAGCTGTCCAACCGAACTCGAACTCGAACCCAAATCAGGAAAAAAAAAACTTTACCTCTCAACTTGCCACTTAACTTGCCTCTGACTGTGGCAATGGCGGCTGTTGGGTCATTGGCAACAACTATTTTCTGCACCGCATAATGTTCACAATTTGTTACGCATGCCCGACCTGCCACGCCCACTCCCACATACCCTTTGCGGTTGCCCACTGAAGTATCAAAAATCTGTTTGAAGTTAAATTCGCCAAAAAAAGAAAAACACACAGAAATACTGGCAAGAACCCCTAAACGTACCCTCGAAGGACGAACGGACAGACAGACAGACAGGAGGCCCCTAAAAAAAGGGTTTGTCAGAGGTTTATTTTTGGGGGGATGGAAATTTTCCTGTGTCTACTTTCGGTTTTATAATTAATTTTAAAAAGCTTTTAATGGCTGGCACGCGTATTTTGAACTAGGCCCCCCTTTTTCCCTTTTCAGAGAGGGAGAAAAACTGTCTCCTCTCGAGTGCTTTTAATTGACTTGCCAAGGGAAAAGGATAGAAAGGATAAATCGAGCTAATAGTTCCTTAAACCGGAAACAAGGAAAGCTAAGATATAGGAATGTAATACGATTCCTATTTGAAGCCAACCTTAAGGCAAATAATCTGTATAATAGTGTTTAAAGGTTCGTCATCTAGCAGGAAATATATCCTTGCTCAGGGTTATGCCAACGTAACGGCAGCTGCACCCAAGGACGCACCTTCCCCGTCGATAAGCGACACACTATCTTCATCTGAATGACAATATAATGGTACCTCAAACCCCAAACCCACCCCCCCCCCTACACCTGTCACCCACATACACATACATATTTAGGGCTTCACCTACACACTCCAGGAAGTTTTATCCAGTTTCAGCTAGGTCCTGCCGCCTGATGATGATGCTGCTGCTGCTGGGATGAACATTTTTGGGGCCACTTTCAAGTCACTAACAATTTGAGTGATGCCCGGGGGCCGTCAAACTTTTAATAGCCAAAAAAAATGGGGAACAGCAGCCGCAACAGGAGCAGCAGGATCAGGATCAGGGCGCAGGAACTAGATATTTATATATATATATACACGAGGCAACGTGCGACACGTGCGTCAGACCCCGGGGTCCTTTCGGGGGTCCTTTCAGGGTTCTCAGTTCTCAGATTCTTATTTCTGGGTCCTGGCAGAGATGCATAAAATTGGAAAACACACGCACATGCCGAGGGGAATGGAGGCGAGGGGACAAGGTCAAGGCTCCAGCAACTGCTACAAAGTAATTCGTTTCCGCTTCCGCTTCATTACTTCCGCCGCCTCGCACTCGGAAAGCACTCAGGGAAAAATAAAAGCAAAAGCGAGAGGGAGCGAAAAGTAAAGTAAAATAAAATAAAATCGAGATTGGTAAATAAAATGCGCAATTGACGGGCGTAAAGGAAATGGCAGCAGGCATAGACACTCTCGCCAGCGACAAGGATACACAAGGATACACACACACACACACGCACACACCGACCGCATCGTCACCTGCCATTGCCAAATGTTTATAAGCAAATACAAATAAACAAATATGCACAGACGAATGTGCAGCGTTTGGAGAATTGAGGAGATCCTGTCGTAATGGCGGCTAATTAACGCATCCTTCGACTCGAACTTGTTGAATGTCCTTGACCAGAGCTCAGTTTTTTAATTAAAAACTGAAGCAGGATTTGGGGGTAGACTGTGGAAAATTGTGTGATTTATTAAAGGAGAGAAAGAGTCAAGATATATCTTTATCTGAAATTATTTTCTAGATTTGGAATATCTTAGACTTTATATTTGGTATAAATAAATATACCAAGCTTTAAGCTTTATATAATATAAAACTTTGCTTACTTTTAAAGCCCTTAAAGAAGCTCTATTTAACTTCCTAGTTCACAACTTAAATTGAAACTCAGCCTGATTAACTCACTTTCAGATATTTTAGTCAGATGTGAGTCTATTTATAGAAAAACACACCCCACAAACTCAAGGCGTTGAAACATTTCCCTGTGGACTTTGAGGGAGGCACATCGAGGCAGTGTTGCCAGGTGATGAGCGCCCATATAAGCTAGATTTAAAAAAAAATAAGGTAGAATAAGCTAAACAATTTTTAAAAAATGCGAAAAAACAAGCTACACCCAAATATGAGAAAACACGAAACATATAATATATATTATTATATTATATGAATATGTTATTATTAAAGAAAGTCTTAAAAATATGTTCTTAAAGTAAGCACTTAAAACAACTTAGTTAATATTTCATCAATTCCTTCATGTTGTTCGTCGCCGAGTGTTCGGCAATGAACAAACAAAGCGCTGCTTCCTGATCCTGAGTCTTGCAACACTTAGCCGGAAAATTTATTTTTTGCGATTCAGCAACTGATCTCATTGATAAAATAAAATAAAATTTTCGATGCCGCATGCTGCCTGATTTAAAAAATTTTGGCTGATATTGTCGACTTACAGTAGCAACAATATGCTTTGGTTCCTTCTCCTGGCACTTAAATTCGTTGTTTTGGAGCCAAGCATCCCGAAAAATCTGTTTATATATAACTTTCGGCATTTTGAGGACACGCTTTACCTATTTTCACAACACAACAAAATTATTGGTGGTAACACTTCAGCCAACAAATCGATCTCCGATGACACTTTCGATTAGAAATAAGTTCACGATCACATAAAATGCACATAACCATCGGAAAAAAAGAACAAACTCCAATATTTTCATGCTATAAAGCATATTTTTCGTAAAAAACATTCCGTGGATGTCAAAAATACATAAAAAGCTAAAATATGCTAGATGAATTTTAAAATAAGCTATATTTCAAGCTATAAGCTAGATGGAAATTTTTCAAGCTTTTCTAGTTTCAAATATGCTAGAACTAGCTTATAATAAGCTAACCTGGCAACACTGCATCGAGGATGGCAGTGTGCTTCCCCTGATTTGTACAAATAGTTACTGCCTTCGTTGGCTAAGCCGAAAAGTATACTATGTATGGATGGGTTCCACCTATCCTAAATATCCTTTGGCTCTACTTCCCCTATCAGCGTGCAAACTATAAAAACCAGAAGCTCAATTATCAAAATGCTACGTGTGTTTGTTTGTTTATTTGTTTATTTGTTTGTTTGTTGGTTTGTTTTGCCTTTGTCTGCGTGTATACCCTCCAGTTTTATCCAGCTGCCTGCCTTGCTCCCTTTCATTGTCATGAAGGAATCCTGCAGGACAGCGAGTTGTAGATGCTTTGTCCCTTTTGGGGGATTTTCTTTCTCTTTTTCTCAGTGTGTGTGTGTGTGTGTGTTCGCTCGCCTTTGACTGTGCAAATAGATAAATTTATTTATTTTATGCCCTGCTGCAGAAACCGCACACAAACAACGGCCTGGGTCGAAGTATAGCATAGATATTCTCCCATCTATTTCTTCTCTAAAATAAACCAGAAGCCAAAAAATAGAACACAAAAAAAAAAAGGAAATGGAAAGGGACCTAAGGTGGTGCGGTGAGGGGGGAGCCCAAGGCAGCCAGCTGACTTTAAATGCCTTTATGCTCACAATATATACATAAATTGAACATTTTCGAGCTGCTGCTGCTTCTGCTGCCTCAGAGGGGAGAGACACTTTCGCTGAATTGGAAATCGCTTACACAATACCCTCAAAAAAAAAAAAAAAAAGAAAGCAGAATAGACTCCGGGCCCCCGGGGGGGAAATAGGTTTGGAAAAATATTAAAAAATTCAATGAAGCTTGCAGCTTGCCCATGGAAAGTCAAAGAAAGCGAAGAAAAGCAGAGAATCGAACGAATCGAATGGAATATTGGGAGGAAAACCAATTCAAAGCAAACTTTCCAAGATTAAGCCATAAATAATTCGACAAATGCTACATTTGTTTGCAAGAAGAAACCCATTAAGTATACATAATAAATGCACAGATCTTCTATGGCAATGTGGCTCTACTTTAGACGAACCCTAATCGATGGCGGAAACTTTTGGCGCCAACGGGGAAAGAACACACACATAACACACAGCAAAAAACAACAATGGAAAAAAGAAAGGAAAACCATGGAACGGAGATGACAGGAGTAAAAAGATTCAGTCTTTTTTATTTATTTATTCGTATATACACTTATGCTCTCAATACCCAAAAACACATTATAAATTATAGTTCAGCTGCAGGCCATACATGGCGTATACGCAATGTGACTGACAATGGCCCACGTTGCGTATACGACAGGAAGACCCAAGAAAACTGAACTGAGCTTGAGAGCTGTAAAGAAAAAAAGGAAAACCAGGGAAGAGGATAAGCAAGTCGTGCGTATGTCTTTATATATATATATATATATATATCGAAAAACTTTTTTGCCACTTTCCTCAGCCGTAGCTCAACTTTTGTTATGCTCGCTTAGCTTTAGCTACGCTTCTGAGTCTGTGCTGTGGCTTTGGCTCAGCTATATATTTTTTCGAACATTTCTATGCCGCTGTTGACTTTCCCTTTTAACAAGGAGCAACCAGGAGCACACTGCGTGTGTTACACTCCTGGCTCATATGTTTGCCTACTTTAAACGCAAACCGATCTTTGGGAGGATGGAGAAAATACATACACATGTATGTACTGTACTGTGGCCATGTCAGTTTCAGCCTCGTCCTTTTCTCTTTTTTTATATGTGCTTTTTTGTGTGTTACAAATTCCTGGCGTTTTTTTGTTAAGGTTTTTATGGAGTCTGTCTCGAAGATGTCCATAAAGAGATAGAGTCTAAAAACTAATTTGCAGCAGCAGCAAGTATGAGGGGGAAAATGGGAAAATATTGTTATTGATATATGACCAAAAAGGGGGCACACCTCCCCCCTCTCTTTATCAGGTAAATGAAGTGACTTTAACTTTTCTCTTTTTTGGTTTATTTTACAGGTAAATGGAGCCTGGGCCCTGCCTGATGTCGTTTGTGATTTCTATATAGCCATGGATGTGATATGTTCTACTTCATCGATATTTAACTTAGTTGCCATCTCCATAGACAGGTGAGTTTTGACTTTAAACAGATGCTGATTTTGATTCTGATGCTAATTTTGATACTAATACTGATCCTTATCCTTATTTAATACCCTTCTTTTTATGTTTCTTAGATACATCGCTGTGACGCAGCCAATAAAGTACGCCAAGCACAAAAACAGCCGCCGCGTTTGCCTTACAATATTGCTGGTTTGGGCCATATCGGCAGCTATTGGTTCACCGATAGTTTTGGGTCTTAACAACACGCCCAATCGTGAGCCGGATGTGTGCGCCTTCTATAATGCCGACTTTATCCTGTACTCCTCGCTAAGCAGCTTCTATATACCCTGCATTATAATGGTGTTTCTCTACTGGAACATTTTTAAGGTAGGTCTGCCTTAAAATATATCGAAATAAAGATGGACATTGTAATCGAAATACATCGATTTCTAAAGCAAATGCTGGCTAGCTCTTTAAACTGTTCAATAGACTCGTAATTGGTATTGAAAAATAAAAAAAAAGAAGCAAGGATAAGAGCCATTACTCAAACCGCAGCCAATCAAAATCGGATTTTGATGAGCAGAGTGAAATCAATATATACATATATACTGCTGATCCCTGCTGACTCCTGCACAATTTGCAATCCCTTGCCCAGGAGTCGTTCCTATTTTTTTTTTTTTTCTTTTTTGTTTGCTCACATTAGCTGCCGACTGCTGACTGGAACATCCGGAACAACCGGAGGATGCAAGCGCAGCATTGTCCTGGCTCTAATCCTAATGCCACTTCTCTCTCCCCACCCTCTCTAGGCACTGCGTAGCCGGGCGAGAAAGCAACGGGCGGCTAGGAAACCCCATCTCTCGGAGCTAACCGGCGGCAGTGTTATCGAGAATATTGCCCAGACTCGTCGACTGGCGGAGACGGCATTGGACAGTAGTCGACATGCCAGTAGGATCATGCCGGACGAGCCGGCCACGAATACGGCAAGTGGTTCCAATGAGGAGGAGGATGAGAATGCCATATCGCCGGACATCGATGACTGTCATGTCATTGTGAACGACAAGTCCACCGAGTTTATGCTGGCCACCGTTGTCGAGGAGACGGGCAAGTGAGTAAACGTAGACGTACTCTTTGAAAGCTTGATATATTAGCTACAAATTGGATGCTCAGAGCAAAGAATTTATGTTCTTTATGAGAGACCTTGTTGCATTTTTCATTTAAATTAATAATAAACTGCAGCTACTATTTAATATTATCCATTAAGTTTAAGTGCCCTTGGCCCAAGCCAATCTGATTTTCCAGGAAGGTTGTAGCAACAAACAAAAAAAGGGAGAACACTTTGTGGCTATCTGCGATGGCCCTGCGAGAAAAAGAAAAAAAAGTTTTGGCTCTCAGCGAATTGGGGAATCGAATTGCAGCCTTGCCTGCACACCTGAGGCACGTGCCACAGGCACGTAATAGATAAGCCAGTTTAGAGTCTGTTTCTGCTGAGTGAGTGGCCTGTAGACTGCAGCCAAGGCTACTACCAAAGCTCCAACAAAATTGTCAATCTAATTGCTGGCCTCGTTTCGCAACGGCGCCACTCAATTGTCGGCAGTAAAAAGGAGTACTTGGCACTTGCACTGCACTCCTCACTCAATCAGATTCTGCTTCAAATTCACCCATATTCATGTCCTGGCAAAAAAAACACTGCGTTAAGCACAGTCAATTAGCATCCTGATGGCATGCTTAATCCAATGAGGATACGAAATGAAACCATTAATGACAGGCCAGCTCAAAAAGAGAGAGCAAAGGAGAAGGTTCGAAGGCATAAACCGCGAAACTGTTTTCGTGCCAAAGGAATAAAGCATTGCGGGGGAAAAATAAATCTGAATAATTCAATTAATGCGTCACTTAATTAAAACTCAATCTTGCCTTTGCCTTTAATTGACATTGCGCCCCCCAATTTCCTGTCTTTTCTTTTCTCTTTTCTCTTTTTCTTTGTGTCCCTCATCAATGCTGCCTCTACCGATGCCACGATACCATGATGTCCTGATGTCCTTTATTGATTGATTATTGCCACCGGAATACACATGGAATATACTCATCTGCACCACAGCAGCGTTGTGGCCCAGATCACCACACAGCCGCAATTGGTTATTGCCGATCCGAATGGTAATCATGATTCTGGTTATGCAGCCTCAAACGTTGACGATGTCCTTGCAGGCGTGGGCATGGCCGCTGGCTCCAACGCCCCCGCCTCATCGGCCATCATCTCAGCGGCGCCACCAAGCAGCGGCTCACCGCCAGACAGTCCCCTGCCCAGTGGTGCAACCTTGCAACGATCGAGCGTGAGCAGCCGCCGGAATACCGCCGATGATTCGCCAAAACGTGGCGAGCCGGCCCTCAGGTCAGTCGGTGTCGATAATTCCAGGTATTTTGGGCTTCAGTATTTCAGTAAATTTCCCAGTAGTTAAAGCCTGAGAAAGACCATCATGCACTTGAAGCATGTATTAGTTGCACAATCAACTGATTAAATACCAGCAAAATCCAACCCTAGATCTCACCAACTTTCACATTAGAAATGAATGAAAGCAATCTGAAATCTGAATATATATATACATATACCTATATATAGTGCCATATAATACCCATAGTTTTTTCCTTTGCGTTTTCATTTGACCAACTTCCGTTTACAGCGTTGCCATGAAGCCATTGTCCTTTGTCCGGTATGGTGTACAGGAGGCCATGACTTTGGCACGCAACGATTCAACGCTATCGACCACATCGAAGACGTCCTCGCGCAAGGATAAAAAGAACTCGCAGGCGTCAAGGTGAGTAATGGCCAACGTCGCCACTAATTACAGTTATTAGTAACTTGGTGTTTCGGCCAAATGCAATTTACCATGGCTTATTATCCTTGCCTTGCCTTGCGTGTGTTTTTTTTTTCCTCTGGTAGATTCACGATATACAAGGTGCACAAGGCCTCGAAAAAGAAACGCGAAAAATCGTCAGCGAAAAAGGAGCGCAAGGCCACCAAAACATTGGCCATTGTTTTGGGTAAGTTCAAGAGTCTCTCTTTCTTTCGGTGTCGGGTTTAGTCTTAACATAACATTACGTCCTGTTTTGTATTTAATTCTTAACGAAACAAAAAATTAGGTGTCTTCCTGTTCTGCTGGCTGCCCTTCTTCAGTTGCAACATCATGGACGCCATGTGCGCCAAGTTCAAGAAAGACTGCCGACCGGGCCTAACGGCCTACATGCTAACCACCTGGCTGGGCTACATTAATAGCTTTGTGAATCCGGTGATTTATACGATCTTTAATCCTGAATTCCGCAAGGCATTTAAAAAGATAATGCATATGGGGTGATTGAATGCATTGAGCAGATCAATCATAGGCATAGCAAACAGGATGTGGCAAATGGAATTGGAAAAGCAGATGCAGACGAAGATGAAGATGAAGAGCTTCCCCATTTTGAAGGAAGAAATGGAAAGTAGAAAAGTGTGCCAAAAGCAAGCAATCCAAGCACCAAGGATCTCAACCCGCCATTCAATTAGGCATTGGGTTTTAGTTTAGTTTTCAGTTTTTTTCTGATTTCATTGTCTTAAACAGAGGAGTAACCCGTTCATTGACTTTTGTAAATAGATCTGTATATACACCTACTCCCAAAGTTGGAGAAGCTGTAGGATAGGTACAATTTTTAACAATTACATTTAGCTAAACCCAAAAGTCCCCCCTTAGCGATATAATCAACTGAACAAAAGAGAACTTGCTATGCTAAAAAAACACAACTCGTAAGTAGACGTAAGTTGTGGTTATAGGAACAGCTAGCACCATAAGATACGGATTCGCTTTAATAATAAAACCAAAATAGTAGTAACGTTTTTGTAAGCTGCTCCCCCCGAACCTGTCACATATCACGAGCAGCAAGCTAATGCCCACCCATGACCCATCCTGCCTCCCCCCTCAAAAAATCCAAAAAGAAATTAGTAAATAAGCTTAGAAAAAAGTCATATCTTTAAGGCCATATCGATATTTGATGTCGGTGCCTAGAGCTAGTTAGTTATCGATTATAAGGATAAGGTATCAAGCGGATCCTTGAGGTCAGAATCCTTTACCAAACACACAAACACTTGCACACTGCACATACGATTGATCGAAGAAAGCAATGCCCTGGAATATTTTTTAAAACCAAAAAGCATTTATCGATTATCGGTTCAGATCAAAAACAGAAACATAAACCCGTTGGGAATTATATGCATTACTTAACGGTACACACACACACACATGAGCAGACATTACAAACCAAAATGAGCCCCACAAATCAAAACGTATTTAAGGGAGACTGACCTCGATGTTAGTCCGCTTAAAGAGCACACTTTTTTTGTTTGACTTTCAGTTCAATTTAATATATAGCTAATTAATACAGGCATATAGGATGGACACGATGTAAGCGCATTTAAAACCAAAAAGAAAAGGTCGTACCTAGGCTAGACACACATAGAGATTAGATAATTAGTATTTAAGGAAGCGGCGTACCTAGTACACCAAGAAGCAGAGAGAATATGTATTCGTTACCTATATCAGATAGTACCAAGGGATATATAGATAAAGCCACGATGCATAGCAGGGATATGAGAGAGACGGTAGATGAATCAGGGTACGTAGAGCATTGCTAGAAGCAATGTCCCAAGGAGATGAGCTCCAGCTGAAGACCGAACATAGCATATACATATATATATATATATACCCAAAGTGTGTATAGTCTATAGGGTAATATCAAAAACAGAGTTTTTTGAAACACGGACCAAGCCACCGACCGGCCACAAACAGACTTTGGACACCGATTGCCCGATGCCCTCGTTGGGATCTGTCCTAACCAGCATCAGCTGGCTGAGAGTGAAGTTTGAGCAGGAGTTCGAGACGAGTGGCAGGTCATGCTGCTGAGAGCACGCCCCTTGCTCTCAACCAGGATTAGGAGCAATGGACCAGATCCGTTGGGGCATCGTCCAGCTGTTTTCGGCGATACCTCGCCTGTTGTGGACTTCGGCTACGTCCTTTGGTCCGTGCTTTCAATAGCCGTCCTCTTAACTGTTTCTATGTGACAAATAATTGATAGATAAACCTACTCCTACCATGTGTGTAGTAGTACTTTATACAAATTCCATATATGATATGAATGAATATTGTGTAGCCATAAGCTCGGATTATGTGTAACTTTAGGCTTAGGCAATGCCCGATGGAGACTCGAGGGCAAGCTCAACTGTTTTTATACTTTCCTAAGAACTCCAATAGTATTTCCGGTGTGCATGATTTGCGTGACTCAAAGTGTGTGTTTGTTTGTTGGTGTTTCTCTATATATATATATATATATATATATATATATATTATATTTTTTTTTTTTTTGTCTTTAGGTTAAGAATATAGTTGTAGTGGCTAGGGACTAAGCTTAGTCTTAAGACTAAAAGGAAAAGGCTCTACTTTCAGATCAGTGCGCAAGCCTCCTAAGTTAGGTTCTTCCAAAGAAAACGCTTATTAATTATAGCTAATCGGTAAATGTGGACTTTATAAAACACACCATAAAAACTCCACAATACACCACAAACACTCCACAATACACCACAAACACTCAACAAACCTTTAATGTTGATTTAACAAAAGTGCAGCCTAAGTTTCCAAAGGCATTGAATTGTTATCTGTTATCGTTATCGTTAATTTGTGAATGAAATATAGCGTACTCTTAAGAACCCGCCGCATAATCATCGGCAAGGACATATACAAGTAGCAAGATCTCTGTACCAATTAAGCATATACTCATATGTATTCTAACATTAGCGAAATGAAAACTGATGGAAGAAAAATGAAACTATTTTAAAGCAATGAGAGCAAGTATGTTTATTTTTTTTTTTCTAGAGAAATTATGAGAATTAACAAACTAATGAAACCGTAGGCTAATGCTCTGAGAAAAAAAGCAAACTATTTCAAGAATAATTACCATAGCTAATGAAAGTAATAATAGCGAATAACAACAATAAAAAGTACGATTACCAAACAGGAAGAATAAGAATACTTCAAATAAATAAAGCGAAACTGAAAATATTTCAAAGTAAAAAAACATCAGAGAACTTTTCATTTCGGGAAATGGGAAACTGGAAACTGTCGTCTCGGGTTTTTGGGCAAGTACGCCGATCAACATACAAACCGTATATCAACATTTTATTGCATTTATATGAGCTGATAATAAAATTCCAATAAGCATGAAAAGAAATAAAAATACTTTGGGAACAAAGCCAAAAGGCTGGAGCAGGGCGGAGATAGTGAAATCAATTCGAACGCGCTCACGGCCGTCGCCACCTCTTGGGGAAACCAAAACCGTAACTAAAAGCGTCTAAATAGATAAACGCGAGGCCCACAGGATGTGGCAACCACCCAAGTAACCTCCACCCATCCACCTCCCACCACTCGTCATCGTCTAATGGGCACTCAGTCAGACAGCTTCGTTGGAGTCGAAGGAGGAGGCAGTTCCAGAGAAGGTGAGGGAGATGGAGGCAGCTCCAGAGACGGCAATGGAGACCGGGACACAGACACAGACATAGTCCTGGAAATGAAAGTGAGAATGGGAACGAACTGAAGTGAGTACGTCCGTCTGTCTGCTGTCCGCGTCCTAATATGAAGTGCCCTCGTACACGGCTAGAAAAAACCTGCTGATAAGTTTTACTTAATACTAACCCTATGACAAGTAAGTATCTATGATCAGTAAATAACTATATTCAGTAAGTAACTACGATCAGTAAGTATCTATGAACAGTAAGTAACTCTGAACAGTAAGTATCTATGACCAGTTAGTAACTCTGAACAGTAATTATCTTTGACCAGTAAGTAACTACAATCAGTAAATACCTATGACCAGTAAGTAACTCTGAACAGTAAGTATCTATGACCAGTAAGTAACTCTGAATAGTAATTACCTATGACCAGTAAGTAACTCTGAACAGTAAGTATCTATAACCACTAATTAACTCTGAACAGTAAGTATCTATGATTAGAAAGTAACTGTGAACAGTAAGTATTTATGACCAGTAAGTAACTCTGAACAGTAAGTAACTCTGAACAGAAAGTATCTATGAGGAGAAAGTATCTATGATCAGTAAGTAACTCTGAACAGTAAGTATCTATAACCACTAATTAACTCTGAACAGTAAGTATCTATGACCAGAAAGTAACTGTGAACAGTAAGTATTTATGACCAGTAAGTAACTCTGAACAGTAAGTAACTCTGAACAGAAAGTATCTATGAGGAGTAAGTATCTATGATCAGTAAGTAACTCTGAACAATAAGTATCTATAACCACTAATTAACTCTGAACAATAAGTATCTATGACCAGTTAGTAACTCTGAACAGTAAGTATCTAAGACCGGAAAGTAACTTTGAACAGTAAGTATCTATGACCAGTAAGTAACTCTGAACAGTAAGTAACTCTGAACAGAAAGTATCTATGAGGAGTAAGTATCTATGATCAGTAAGTAACTCTGAACAGTAAGTATCTATAACCACTAATTAACTCTGAACAGTAAGTATCTATGACCAGTAAGTAAGTATGAGGAGTAAGTATCTATAACCAGTATGTATGTATGTATGATCACTTACTAACTTTGAACACTAATAAACAATGACTTGCAACTTTTGTAACAACACATTTCTGAAACCTGGCAGGCAGCAGTCACTTCGTTCCAGGGATGTTAGAACCAGTTGGGAATTATATGCACAGACGTGCGAGATTTGTTTTGGAACTAATTTAAGAGCAAGCTATTAAACTATGGAGTTATTCTTCTATATTATTTTACTAGTTTATAAGTCAAAGCATGGCAAATCGGTGGACTATATCTATATATATTTATATAGCTGCCATAGGAACGATCGCAAAATTTTAAGAAAACAATATTATACCATTTCCAGCTTTCAACAGATTTTCATAAAATTTGATATATATCTTTTATATATTAATCAAGATTCTTTTTTTAAATTTTAGGAAAATCGGATTACTATATCATATAGCTGTCATTAAAACGATCGTTAAAAAAAGGGAAAATACAAAACGGTGAATGAAATGAAAGCAGGTATTACTTTATTGTTTTTTTACATTAACATATATAATTTATTTTGTATAATTTCTTAGTGATTGAATTTAAATCTGCAAGATTATGCAAACTTCGGCGTGTCGAAGTTAGCTTTATTTCTTATTTATTATTTTTTTTTAGTTTGTTTCCCAATTTCTTTCTATCGAAATGGTATGTTAATATCCAATATTAACCGCAGTGTATAAATGCCAATTTTGTTTTTCGCCATTCTGGAATTGTGTACGTATGTGTGCGTGTGTATTGGCCTGACCATAAATACAAATGTAAAAAGGGCAACCAGAGCCTGACCCCCGACATCCTGGCCACACCTACCGCCTTTGCCTTCGAAATCTGCCCGGAATTCCAGTTAGCCTCGAAGGCTGGGCAAAGTTCTTCGTTCCATTCGATTCGGCGAGAGTTGTGTGTGAGTGTTGTGTGTGTGTGTGTGCTCTATGTCCATAACTAATTCGAACTAAATGATGTACTAAAGTGTTGAGGGAACACGGATACTCGTACAAGGATACTGGCACACAAATACTCGTGCAAATAGAGTCCCGTATACACATAACACATGCTTGCATACGACATGCTCACAGTGCGTATGAAATGTTTTGCGCCTGGGAGCGATATCTTATCGTTACACTCACTGGGTGGCGATAATTGACAGACCATTAACGTTTGGATTGCAAAAGCTAAAGTACAACTACACAGATATTCCATCCCCCCTATCCAATCCATACCATTTTAAGGGTGTTATGTTAAAGGCATATGCCCAGTGTCGATGTCGTTGTCCGCGTTAGTTGTCCATAGAATTGTGTGATTTTGCTGGGCAATCCAAATCCATAGAGCTGGGAAATAGGACTCTTCAACATTAAAGGAAGCATCCTGGTTTAAACAGCTTCGTCTGTTGCCAGAGGAACGATAAAAACAACCCAGTTCCAGTCCCCTAACCAAACCCAATCCCCATCCCATCCTTAAGGCTAAGGCATAGGGTCAGCCTTTCACCCGGAATGGAATTCTGGCAAACCGGAAACTACTCAACGGTGCAAAGTCAAAATCGAAAAATATGCACACGACCAGAAATAGTTTAAATACAAGGCCGAATATTAATATGTGCATGTAGCTAAGGATGTGAATGTGAATGTAGTTAAGGAAATGTGTATGTGAAGTGTAGTCCCCAAGGCAATGGGGGTTTAGTGCAATCAAGCATAGCTTTCTCCAGTGGATTACTGTCTCAGCCTGGGTCTGGGTATCGTTTCAACTTCACGCCCAACGACTTTTCAGCCTGCCAGCTAAGGGGGAAAAAAGGGGAGATTTCCGAAGGCAGTGAGTGCCTAGAATCCCTTAAAAAATTATGAGTATATGGGCAAGAGTGCAGTCATTGACTCTAACCTCTTCTTTGGTCAATAAAATTTGACTGTCAGCCGATTATAGTGCAGACAAGATCGATTTTAAGGATTTTGTGCTATGTTAAAGCCTCCAATTGACCCTTTTCTCCTATAGATATTCTTCAATTGTTAGAAATCTATCTCCATAAAGCAAGCTCTGGTGTTTAAAGTCATGTATTTGTTTTGAACTCAACCATAAATTTCCAAATTGACGTATCAACCAGATCTCTCTCCGACACTCATGTCGTAAGGTCATTCGTTTTTAACATCATTTAGACGATACTCGAAATTCAGAGAACTTTAAAAAGAAGAAAAACCAACCGAAAACCATGGTGGAGTTTGCCTTTGATCTTAGCGAGCTTTTTACGCAACCCATTATTTGCATTAAGCCGCATCATTTGCAACCCGAGGCACCCGACTGTCAACTAAGTCATATCCTCAACTTGATGGGACAGCATTCGGCAAATGCCCAAGGATTGCGACAACCGGTGACCATTGCTAGCAAACTTGCTGGTGATCAATTGGTTTATCTGATAACCGATCGGGAATCTGGTCGAATTGCCGTCACTGGATTGCTCAAGGTGGGCACCAAGGATCTCTTTTTATATGATGAAAAAGGTGTTATTCAGCACTGTGATCGAACACCAGCAATTCTTGACTTTTATGTTCATGAGAGTCGTCAGCGTCGTGGTCAGGGTAAGCGTCTATTCGATCGAATGTTAGCGGATCAGGGCTGGAAGGCTTGTCAATTATCCGTGGATCGACCCTCGCACAATATGAAAGCATTCCTGGGCAAGCATTATGGTTTGCTGCGTCCCATACCACAGGCCAATAATTTTGTTCTCTATGAGGGTTTCTTCGATGCCAAAGTACCGAAGCGTGGTCGTGAGAAACCACAAATTATGCAACACAAGGACATCCAATCGGGATACAAGCAGGGAAATGGATTTGTTCAGAATCAGAAACAGAATCTTGGCAACATGCAGTCATCAAAACATTACCTTAACTCTTCGAGAGCCTCTACAGTGGCTGATATTATGGGCGTTGGCGAGCGGATTAGCAATCGTCCTTCGGAAAAGGGATCATCGTTCAAAATTCATCAGTGACGGACATCGTCAGCCAAAAAAAGACATTTTAAAATCATTCAACAATTGATATTATATTCTTTATCAAAAGAAAATTTTTTATATTTAAATTGTTAATAAATCTAACGTTTAAATTGGTATAGTATTTGTGGAATAATTTAGTATATTATCCCCACTTGAATTTTTATAATTTAATGTAAATATAAATGCTGTGTGCTCCTCTTTCCGAGGGGATAAATATTTCAATCAGAGGACAACCAGGACTGATTGCCAAATGACCAGCAGTTGGAATCACAAAAAAAATGTCGCCAGTATTTGCATAGTTTCATTTTCATTTAACTTTTATTTGCCATCACGTTGCCAAAAATGGCCAAAAATGCAAAAATGTCCAGCCAATGATTGTTGCTGCTCTCTCTCCCTCTCTCTCTCTCTCTCTCTTTGGATGTCCTGAAATATCCTGGCTGCTGTTGTTTGCTGTGGCTTTGGGTGTGTGTGGGTGTAGCTATGTCTGTTGTTGATTCCTTTGCATTGCCATAATATTTAATGGGCAGTCAAAAGTTGGGCTCCTTTTTGGAGGCTGAAGCAAGGCTTTGACTGAACAACCAGTTTCAGTGGCAGTTATTATGTCGCATCATTTGAACAAAGTGTCCGCACATGCGAAGCAAACAAATTTCAAGGGATACCCAGAACCCAAGTCCAAGTCCACCGCGGGTCGTACATAGAACTGGCATGTCGATGAAACAATGGCGAACGGAAAACCAAATGAAATTCAGTTTAGCCCAGGCACACACACACACACACAGGCCCAGAAATACAGAAGGGACCCACCCAAAACAAAAAGCAAAGAAAAAAAAGAAACAAGAACAAAACACAGTGGTGCAAATATTAAAATTCAAAATTTTTGTCACGTGTCAAATGCCATTTATGCGCTTCGTGATCGCACGCGGCGTGGCTAGGAACGGGGCTCCTGTTCCTCCTCCTGTTCCAGCTCCAGCTCCAGCTCAGTGCTGGCATTAGGGACAGGAAAAGACATATATATATATATATATTTATACTTATATATATATATTGACAGAGAGTTAAACGGCTTGGGAGAGGGGGAGAGTGCAGCCCAGAAAAGACGGAAGCAGGAGACAGGACACTCAGGAAATCTAACTTCAGTGGGGTAAAAAATGCAAATCAGAAGTAAGAAATACATCAACAACCAAGTTAATCATTACTAGTAAAATATAGTAAAATAACGCTTCAAGTAAATAAATAAACAAGTAGAGTTTCATTAAAATTCGCTTGCACTCACAGTTCTTTTTCTTATTCGTTATATACATATCCCTAAGAAAACAAAATGTAAACAAAGGCAGTTATTCGATTGGCAACATTTCAACATGTTGCCAAAATGTTGCAAAAAAGTTAAAACAATGTTGCCAAAATTGGCATCCCCAAGCGTGGATCATGGATTCTAAGTGGCTATCTCGCTCTTACGATCCACCTTGAAGAAAGAGAACAAACCAAAGCCGGTAGCTTTCAAAGAATATAGAAGAGTAAATGCGCGAGCGACGACAATTAGAGAAGAGAAAATGCACGAGCGGACAGGTAAAGCAGAGTAAATGCACGAGCGACGACAGAAAGAGTAGATCAAGTGCGCGAGCGAAAGCAGCGAACGACAAGGATGAGGAAAAGTAGAAAATCGTTTTGTTTCACTCACCCCCTAACATTCTTGATGCAGAAATCCAAACGGTGCTTGAGAGTTGGTTGCCGAAACCAAACACACTAAAAATAAAATTAGTAAGAATTAATAACTTTCTTTATTATTGAAGGGCAAACTTTTACACTTTTCATTTGCTTCTTTTTATACCTGTCACCTATATTTTTTTATTCAATAGTAAAATAAAACGCACTGATCTTGGCATTTTATCCGCTTCTTCCATATCTTTCATATTTTTTTTATTTATTATACATATATTTATCACAGCTACAGATTATTTCCCAGTGTAGTGTAGGGGAATGGAGAGATGTCGTCAATGTCAAATGGGAACATCCAAATTTCTTCCATCCTCGAACAGGACTGCCAACGCGATCGATTTTGGTTGGGGAAACGGATAATTAAACAAATACTAAATAAATTCAAAATAAATATTTAGAAATTATATAATAAGTAAATAATAATAAGGAAATATTTCATAAATAATAAATAAGTACATTTGAAGGTATGTTTAACAAGAAAGAAAAATAGCTGGCGGAAGCCGAAGTTTATATGTATGTAAGTCCTTGTTTGCAATTGAATTATAGCAAAAAATCTAAAATTTATTATAAATAAGCTTATAGTATATGCTAACTCTAAATCGTTATTTATCAATATTTTTATGTGAAATTTTAAACTAAAAAAAATCATAACTCTGCTTAAATAGCATTAATTTTAATTCGGAAAACTGCCCTATGTTAGTTTTTATTAGTTAAATAAATCTGCATACTCAATTTACCATTTAAAGAATTTTAAAATTTTATTAATTTTTTTGACAAATTTTATGATGAAACCCCTTCAAAAATTTTGAAAAAAAAATTTTAATTATTTTTTTCTTTCTGAGATGTCTAGATCGATTAAGCTTTTCATGCTGATTAAGAATATATATGATTTATAGGGTCGGAAACGACTCCTTCATAGCGTTACAAGCTTCTGACTATAATTATAATACCCTCGCATGGCTTTAAAAACAGGACAATTATACTTATTTTCTCTTAATATTCCGATTGTTTACATTGTGGCTGCATGATATAGACGTCCGATCCTATACTTTCTGACACCATGCATGAGTTCGTGTACTTTATAAATGTGTGAATATATAAATTTATATTTTATATGTATATATTTATCCTTAATGGAGTAAATTCTGTATAATATCCGCTTTAGAAGCGACAATTTACTATAAAGAACTATGGGTAGCTCTCCAAGATCTGCACTATGACTGGCGAAAGTTCAGAACTGCTTATGGTTATGATACACACTGTAGTTGAAGTAGTTACCTGCCCAGAATAATGCCTTTAACGCCATCCTCGAATGCGTTTCGATGGCCGCCCACGGCGAACGGGTTTCCCTTGGAGGCAACTTCCTGCTTTTATTTCACATATTTATTATAAAATAACCCCGAAATGTACCACCTCAAGTGTGTGTGTGTGTTTGTGACAGTTTTATTAGCATATATCGATTGCACTTGTCGATGCCGCCCAGGGGAGGCCATTATGCAAACTAAGTAACTTCAAAACAGCCAAAAGAATGAAGACGAACAACTCGAAAAATGTTGTTTGCTCTTTGTTTACTTTATTGTTTTTAATTAATTTATAGCTTACACAGGGAGAGAGACGCACACAAAACCGAACTTGTACAGCCTGTGGCAGCTTTCGGGCACGTGCAAGGGGAAGGAAAAATAAAGTGATTGCAAATTCGATTTTCATTTATGATTTTAATTCGATTTGCTTGTATTGATTTATTTCAGCATATTTATTTGCCAGTTTTTCTCACTCCTTCAGCTTTTCCACAATGCTTTTTTCTTCCTTATTTGCTTTTAGGTTTTTAAAAGTTGTGCATTTTCTTTTCTTTTATATAATTCTTCAAATATTTTATGATATAACGTAGTCTTCAGTTAGTTTTTGTTTCATATCCACCATTCTGTATGATTAAATATTACGTATACGCACTCTCTTTTCCTTGTCAATTAATGTCACATTGCGTATACGCAGTGTTGTGTCGCCCACAGTTATGAGGGAAGCCAGTGTGTTGGCATTTTACCTGAAAAACACCGTTGCCTGGCGATTGACTGACTGACTAACTGATTGACTGATTGACTGACTTTTGAATGGCCGAAAAAACCAACTCCTGACCCACAGCAAGGGTGCACTTGACAAAAGCCAAAGGCTCATCGGCCTCACAGGACCCGTCGCCTTTGTGCGATTGTGCACCCGGAGATTCTGGATTCAGGGATTCAGAGAGCCCGCTTTAAGGCCGCTTGGCGGTGGTCCCCCAATCAATTTACCCGCTTCCTATTTATGCCCTTGTTTTTTCCGCTCCTCCTCCCTGTTATGCCACATTGCAACCCAGTTCAGGAGTGGGTGGGTGGAGGGAATCATTGCCAAGTGCCGTGCCACGTGTCACTGAGTGACAAATGCCATTTGTTTCCGCTTTCCCCTAGGTTCTCGCCCATAAATAAGTGTAACAGGAACCAAGTTTAAAAATAGCCAAGGAAAACAAGAAGGAGGGATGGATGAATATTAAATTGAGATAAATAAGGGAAGGGAAAAGCTAGAGACTGGGGAGGAGGAGAAGGTCCCATCCAGTGGTTTGCAAAAAACATATATATCTTTCTTTTGCGGTGTCAGAAGTTGTGTTTGGATCAAGTGCATGTACCGGATAAAGCAAACTTTATATTATTTGTTGATCTGTTCGCATTGTACTTGTCATTTCTAGATCACTGAAGGATCAGATAATCTTTCTTCTTTATGACACATCTTCCCTAAATTATATTAAAACAATCACAAAATATGTTTCTTTTATACCCTGGCAGTGAAGGAGTCATTTCCGACCCTATAAATCATATATATTCTTTATCAGCATTAAAAACTTAATCGATCTAGCCATCTCAGAAAAAAAATAATTTACCAATTTTTTCAAAAATTTTTTAAAGGGTTTCATCATTAAATTTGTAAAAAAAAATTGAAAAAAATTTTAATTTCTTAAAATGGTAAATTTAGTATGCAGATTTATTAAACTAATAAAAACTAACATAGGACAGTTTTCCGAATTAAAATTAATGCTATTTTAGCAGAGTTATGCTTTTTTCTAATTTAAAATTTTACATAAAAATATTGATAAATAACGATTTAGAGTAAGCATATATTATAAGCTTAGTTATAATAAATTTTAGATTTTTTGCTATAATTTAATTGCAAACTACAAGGACTTACATACATATAAACTTTGGCTTCCTGAAGCTATTTTCCTTTCTTGTTCAACATACCTTCATATGTACTTAGTAATTATTTATTTATTATTTATAAATATTTCCTTATTATTATTTACTTATTATATATTTTCTAAATATTTATTTTGCATTTATTTAGTATTTCTTTAATTATCCGTTTCCTCAACCTAAATCGATCGCGTTGGCAGTCCTGTTCGAGGATGGAAGTTATTTGGATGTTGCCAGTTGACATTGACGACATCTCTCCATTTCCCCTCCCTCGCCAACACATCGGTTACATTGCCTCTTTCCAAAATCACCAAGCGAACTCTCCCGCTTGTCGTCGGGAATCAGTTACTCGAATGCAGCCGAACTAATCGGAGGTGAAAAAAGAATTGAAACTTCAAGATGTCTCCCACGCAGGGCGATCGGTGAAAAAAGTGAAAACGCGGAAAAGGATCGCAAAATTAGCGAGCCGCAGCTTGGAAAAGTGGTAGTGTAGTGGGGAATATGCGTGGAGCAGCCCCAAAGCAGTCGCAGTGCAAAGATCAGTGCATTTAGTGCAAGTGAAAAATGAAGAAATGTCAAGTCAACCGTTAAACGGTACCGCAAAGTTACGGTTTCGTCATCTCTCTCCTTTCCACGGAGTCGTTTGGCTACACTGGGAAAAAATTGTGTCGCTGTGATATATAAAAAAATATAAAAATATGGAAAATGTGCAGGAAATGTCGAGATCAGATCAGATCGTTTCGTTTCCATAAATTAATTGCATACTGCAATGGTAAGTAAACTTTGGCATCTTTTCTTTTATTTATTATTAATTAAATATTTATTTTTTATTTTTTACCATTTATTTATTTTCTATATATTTATTTTGCATTTATTTATTATTTATATATTTTTTCTTTTCCCCAACCTAAATCGATCGCGTTGCCAGTCCTGTTCGAGAATGGAAGTTATTTGGATGTTGCCAGTTGAAATTGACATCTCTCCATTTCCCCTCCCTCACCAACCCATCGACACCTTCCAAAATCACCGAGCGAACTCTCCCGGTTGCCGTCGGGAATCAGTTACTCGAATGCAGCCAAACTAAGCGGAGGTGAAAAAAAAAGAACTGAAAAAGCAAGATGTCTTCCACGCAAGGCGATCGGTGAAAAAAGTGAAAACGCGGAAAAGGATCGGAAAATTAGCTAGCCGCAGCTTGGAAAAGTGTAAGTGTAGTGGGAAATATGCGTGGAGCAGCCCCAAAGCAGTCGCAGTGCAAAGATCAGTGCATTTAGTGCAAGTGAAAAATTAAGGAATGTCAAGTCAACCGTTAAACGGTACCGCAAAGTTACGGTTTCGTCATCTCTCTCCTTTCCAAGGAGTAGTTTGGCTACACTGGGAAAAAATTGTGTCGCTGTGATATATATAAAATAAATAAAAAAAATATAAAAATATGGAAAATGTGCAGGAAATGTCGAGATCAGATCAGATCGATTCGTTTCCATAAATTAATTGCATACTGCAATGGTAAGTAAACTTTGGCTTCTTTTATTTTATTTATTATTAATTAAATATTTATTTTTTATTTTTTACTATTTATTTATTTTCTATATATTTATTTTGCATTTATTTATTATTTATATATTTTTCCTTTTCCTCAACCTAAATAGATCGCGTTGGCAGTCCTGTTCGAGAATGGAAGTTATTTGGATGTTGCCAGTTGAAATTGACATCTCTCCATTTCCCCTCCCTCGCCCACACATCGGGAACATTGCCTCTTTCCAAAATCACCGAGCGAACTCTCCCGGTTGCCGTCGGGAATCAGTTACTCAAATGCAGCCGAACTAAGCGGAGGTGAAAAAAAAGAACTGAAAAAGCAAGATGTCTTCCACGCAAGGCGATCGGTGAAAAAAGTGAAAACGCCGAAAAGCAACGGAAAATCAGTGAGGCCCAGCTGGGAAAAGTGTAAGTGTTGTGGGGGAAAGGCGTGGAGTAGCCCCAAAGCAGTCGCAGTGCAAAGATCAGTGCATTTAGTGCAAGTGAAAAATGAAGGAATGTCAAGTCAACCGTTAAACGGTACCGCAAAGTTACGGTTTCGGCATCTCTCTCCTTTCCCCGGAGTCGTTTGGATACACTGGGAAAAAATGTGTCGCTGTGATATATATAAAATAATTTAAAAAATATGAAAGATATGGAAGATGTGCAGGAAATGCGAAGATCTTGGATACTGGATTTAATTGGATACTGCAATGGTATTATTATTATTATTATTTTATTCTTTTTTTAATATTTATTTATTATTTAGTACTATTTTATTATTTTCTATTATTTATTTTGCATTTATTTATTATTTTTTAATTTTTCTTTTCCTCAACCTAATTAGATCGCGTTGGCAGTCCTGTTCGAGAATGGAAGTTATTTGGATGTTGCCAGTTGAAATTGGCATCTCTCCATTTCCCCTCCCTCACCCACCCATCGCCGCCTTCCAAAATCACCGAGCGAACTCTCCCGGTTGCCGTCGGGAATCAGTTACTCGAATGCAGCCGAACTAAGCGGAGGTGAAAAAAGAACTGAAAAAGCAAGATGTCTCCCACACAGGGCGATCGGTGAAAAAAAGTGAAAACGCCGAAAAGCAGCGGAAAATCAGTGAGCTCCTCCTGCGGAAAGTGTAAGGGTTGTGGGGGAAAGCCGTGGAGCAGCCCCAAAGCAGTCACAGTGCAAAGATCAGTGCATTTAGTGCAAGTGAAAAAATAAGGAATGTAAAGTCAACCGTTAAACGGTACCGCAAAGTTACGGTTTCGACATCTCTCTCCTTTTCCCGGAGTCGTTTGGATACACTGGGAAAAAATGTGTCGCTGTGATATATATAAAATAAATAAAAAATAAAAAAAAAAGGAAGATGTGCAGAAAATGCCGAGAGCAGATCAGATCGATTCGTTTCCATAAATTAATTGCAAACTGGAATGGTAAGTAAACTTTGGCTTCTTTTCTTTTATTTATTATTAATTAAATATTTATTTTTTTATTTTTTACTATTTATTTATTTTCTATATATTTATTTTGCATTTATTTATTATTTATATATTTTTTTCTTTTCCCCAACCGAAATCGATCGCGTTGCCAGTCCTGTTCGAGGATGAAGGCTTTTTGGATGTTGCCAGGTGAAATTGTCGACATCTCTCCATTTCCCCTCCCTCGCCCACACATCGGGAACATTGCCTCTTTCCGAAATCACCGAGCGAACTCTCCCGGTTGCCGTCGGGAATCAGTTACTCGAATGCAGCCGAACTAAGCGGAGGTGAAAAAAAGAACTGAAAAAGCAAGATGTCTTCCACGCAAGGCGATCGGTGAAAAAAATGAAAACGCCGAAAAGCAGCGGAAAATCAGTGAGGCCCAGCTGGGAAAAGTGTAAGTGTTGTGGGGGAAAGGCGTGGAGTAGCCCCAAAGCAGTCGCAGTGCAAAGATCAGTGCATTTAGTGCAAGTGAAAAATGAAGGAATGTCAAGTCAACCGTTAAACGGTACCGCAAAGTTACGGTTCCATCATCCCTCTCCTTTCCACCGAGTCTTTTGGCTACACTTGGAAAAAAATGTGTCGCTGTGATAGACATAAAATAGTTTAAAAAATATGAAAGATATGGAAGATTTGCAGGAAATGCGAAGATCAGATTTAATTGGATACTGCAATGGTATTATTATTATTATTATTTTATTCTTTTTTTTAATATTTATTTATTATTTAGTACTATTTTATTATTTTCTATTATTTATTTTGCATTTATTTATTGTTTTTTTAATTTTCCTTTTCCTCAACCTAATTAGATCGCGTTGGCAGTCCTGTTCGAGAATGGAAGTTATTTGGATGTTGCCAGTTGAAATTGGCATCTCTCCATTTCCCCTCCCTCACCCACCCATCGCCGCCTTCCAAAATCACCGAGCGAACTCTCCCGGTTGCCGTCGGGAATCAGTTACTCGAATGCAGCCGAACTAAGCGGAGGTGAAAAAAGAACTGAAAAAGCAAGATGTCTCCCACGCAGGGCGATCGGTGAAAAAAAGTGAAAACGCCGAAAAGCAGCGGAAAATCAGTGAGGTCCTCCTGCGAAAAGTGTTAGTGTAGTGGGGAATATGCGTGGAGCAGCCCCAAAGCAGTCACAGTGCAAAGATCAGTGCATTTTATGCAAGTGAAAAAAGAAGGAATGTAAAGTCAACCGTTAAACGGTACCGCAAAGTTACGGTTCCATCATCTCTCTCCCTCCTTTCACCGAGTCGTTTGGGTGCACTCAGAAAAAAAAGTGTAGCTGTGATAAATACAAAATAAAAATTGAAAGAAATGGAAGAAGCGGGGGAAATGCCTTGATCAGATCACGTCGATTCGTTCCTAAAATTTAATTGCGTACTGCAATGGTAAGTAAAATTTGGCTTCTTTTCTTGTTCAAGACACGTTTATATTTATTCAGTATTAATTTATTATATTTTAATTATTTATTTTTTATTTATTACTATTTATTTTCTATATAATTATTTTGCATTTATTTATTATTTATTTATTTCTTCTTTTCCCCAACCTAAATAGATCGCGTTGGCAGTCCTGTTTGAAAAACAAGCAAGTGAAAAGTCTAAAAGTGTGCCCTTCAATAAATTAACTGACTATTATGACATACTCATTTTTTGAGTGTATTGGGTTTTGCCAACCAACGTTGAAGCACCGTTATGATTGCTGCAGCATGAATGTTAGCGGGTGAGTGAAACAAAACGATTTTCTACTTTTCCTTATCCTTGTCGTTCGCTGCTTTCGCTCGCGCACTTGATCTACTCTTTCGCGCATTTACTCTGCTCTAACTGTCGTCGCTCGTTCATTTTCTCTTTTCTAACTGTCTTCGCTCGCGCATTTACTCTTCTGTACTCTTTGAAAAGCTACCGGCTTAGGTTTGTTCTCTTCCATGACAGTGGATCGTAAGAGTCAGAGAGCCACTTACACTTAGAATCGTCGATCCGCGCTTGGGGGTGCTAATTTTGGCAACATTGTTTTAACTTTTTTGCAACATTTTGGGAACATGTTGAAATGTTGCCAATCGAATAACTGCCTTTGTTTACATTTTGTTTTCTTAGGGATATGTATATAACGAATAAGAAAAAGAACTGTGAGTGCAAGCGAATTTTAATGAAACTTTACCTGTATATTTATATATTTAAAGCATTATATTACTGTATATTACCATTACTAATTATATTATATATTAAAATTTTATATATTATTATTTTATACTATTTTATCAAAACTTTTTCAATTATACATTTTACATTGGTATATTTTTTATAACATGTTATTTTTAAATATAATTTTTGTCTATATCCCCTGTTAGTTCTCTTGAACAAAATCCTTCGATTATTAATGATCCAATTGCAAACTATTGCATGGGTATTGCAAACTTTTTTTCTTGTTGTTTGTTAAATAATTTTATGAGTTGCAATATAAATGTTAAATTAAGTGCATTTATTGCAGCTTTAATGTGAGTATTCGAAATCCTTCACATTAAAGTAGAAGCTGACTTTTTTGCAGATCTAAATTAAATTAATAAGAACTAAAGGACATTTTTACTTGCTGCCATGATATTTTTCCTATATTTAATGGTTATTTTTCGTATTGCCCTAATTGATGCCCTAGAACTATTGGCTCGAGTGCAAAGTCAGGTCTCCGCCGAACAGGAAGCAGCTGTATCCTTGCTGCACTTCCGCCGCAAGAGCCATGTAAATCACTTAAGTGTGGCGGCAAGGCAGGTCCGCGGTGCTTCTAAAGAGCTCATAAAGCAAAAATGCTGTGAAAATCATTTGTTACACTACGCGTATGGATAACTGTAAAGTGCCTTCGAACGCACTTGCTGCTCTCCATCTCGGTCTCCATCTCAGACTCTTCCCTCTCTCTCTCGCTCTCTGGTTTTCTTCCTTGCCATCTCTTTCCTGCTGTAACAATAATGTGCACTTATTTTTTATGGCAATCATTTAAGACAAAAATGTAGCAGCGAAGTAAAACAAAAGGCAGCCAAGTCACTCAAAAGGACGAACAGAAAGTGAAGAACCTCCTACAGAAGTATTTTTATAAAAGTCCTTCTATATATATATATATATAAAAGTATACATATCTAAATGGAAAGTAGGTGTTGGTCTTGGTGTGTGTCTGTGTCTGTGTGTGTGAAGCAACAAAGTAGCACAAGTACGAAATGGCGCCGGAAATGTTTGCTGAAGTTGGAGAAGCAGCGGCTCTCCCAGGACACTCCTCAAACCTCCTTTCCTTACCCGCCGGCAACTCTGATGAGCGTCAATCAAGGAAATTGCTACTTTTTCAGCAATTTTTCACTCGTTCTCAGTGCGTTGAGCCGACGCCGCCGCCGAAACCGCCACCACCACCACCACGTTTGACGTCAGTCGAAAGGCAACTCCTTTTGATTCAAAGTTCAGAGTGTCGGAGTGCCAGGAGTTAAGAAATCCCTTTCCCCAACCACTTGTTGCCACACAGGTTAATATTAATACAGCCATAATTCCATACCAAAAGGTAGAAAGTCGCCCAAACGAAGGATTCACATAAATAATTCATTTGAGATTAATTTCTTTCATTTATGAGGGTAGGCTTGTCTCAATGAAATTTTAAATAAATAATGAATATAATAAATATAAATTAAATACAAATGTGTAAACGATTTTAAAATAAAAATGTAAGAATACTTTTTTAGGCTTTTTTTTCATTTTATTTTAATGAATTTAATCAATTAGACAGAAATATGTAGGACATTTTAAAAAGAAACCCAGATAACACCAATTTTAAGTATTCATTTGATATTATATTAATGCATTTCATATATTTTATATATAAATATGTAAAAAAAACTTTAAAAAGAACTTCGAATAACTCAGATATTGAGCATTCATTTAATATTATTTAAAAAAAGAACCCCTTGGGGTCTCCTCAAAGCAAAAAGGTTTAAAGGACCTTGTCCTTTGGACTCCCTTAGAGGGCTTCGCTTTTTTTTTTTTTGCATGCTGTGACTGTCACTGAGCATATAAATGTGAATGACAGCCACGCCCAAGGCCAGGACATCCTTTTTAGTCCTTGGTTCAGTGTCTCTTACTTTCAGAAAGGCTCTGCTGTCTGTGTAGGAAAATTAATTTGCGGCTTATCGAAACCATAAAAATTTTCTAATCCACTTTGCGTAAATAATCATGAGCGTCAATTCAATGCCGGCAGACATCAGTCGCACACCCACCACCACCTAACACACTTTCACACACACTTGGACTCACTCTTACACTCACTCATACACTCATACCCTTGCAATTCACACTCATACACTCAGTGTATTCGCTAGCTTATATCTGTGGCATACTTTTGCGGGCTCCAAGCTGCGAGTGCAGTGCGGCGGAAGATGAGGGAAAACTTTCAACTCTGAGGCGCCAAAGTCGAAAAGTAACTTTTTTTCCGCTGTTTAGCGCAACGTCAACAAAAATTGTGAGCAACAGCAACAGCAGTAGAAGAAGCATTGAGCATGTCGGGCTAAGCCCTAGACAATATTACATTTGTTGACCTCAGAGTCTTGTTGAAGTGGGTAACGTCGTTGCCTTAGGTGGCGCCGGTTACCATGAGATGGGCAACTTTGTTGGCTGCTTAAATTGCAACAGAGTTTGACAGCCAACAGTGGAAGCAAAAAAAGAAAACCTAAACAAAACCCAAAAAAGAAGAGGAAACTTACTTTGGAAAGTACTTGTTTATATACCCTTGCAAATTAATTAAAGAACCGAAACGGAAATCAATTACTACTAGAATATATACATACTTTGAATCAATATTTATTGATATTTTTATATCATAACTCTGGCAAAAAAGCTTTAATTTTCAATCGGAAAACACATCTTTTCTAGTTTTTATTAGTTTAATAGATGTGCATACTTAATTTAAATATGAACAAAAAAATTTTTTTTCATATTTTTAGCGAGGTAACCCCTTAAAAATGTTTGAAAAAAGTTCGAAAAAAAAATTTTCTTCCTGAGTTAGCTAGATCGATTCGGCTATTGATGCTGATCAAGAATATATATGATTTATAGGGTCGGAAATGATTCCTTCTTGGCGTAACAAGCTTCAAACTATAATTAAAATACCCTCTAAAGGGTATAAAACAAAAACACAAACTCTGGCCAGAGAATCTGGAAAAAGTACCAAACCAAGGGCAAACAAAGCAAAAAATTATACGTTTTTGGCCTGCCACAATTTTTGCCACATTTGTTCAGGCAACTGGACCAGGCCATAACCCAGCATCAGGTCACTACCATTTAAGGCACAGAGAAAATTAAGGTTTATAAACCATATCAAAACCTAGTGTAGTTTGCCTTGAAAACCCTTTTAAGAAATACAAAAGGATGGGCTTTATTTGCAATTAAAACTTGGCATAGAATTCAACTATTTCCCAATTCATTTAGATTTCATTTTGTCTGCTTGATTTTTCTCTCAGTGGTGTTGCCTGTGTCAGTTGCAGTGCCATTAAAATTTTAGCCCAATCAAAAAAGCTGCAGACCAAAAGCTGAAGCTGGAGAAAGCTAAAATGGTATAAAATTGTTGTTTAGGAGTTGCCACAGGCCGAGGCAGGCTGGGGACACACACACACAACACATACGCAAGGGCCAAAGACAGCTGGAAAAGTCCCCGGGCATATGTGGAGGCAAATAAGATAAAAATGTTTTGCACTCTGTGGGGAAATTCGGGACATTGCTATTGAGTGGAAGTAATTCCAAAGGCAGGACCTTCTTTACTCCCCCTCCGACAAAAGGGGTTAATACACTGGCATTTCTTAGAAAATAAAACCCCAAAAACTGGACTTTCTGACAACCAGTTAATGGAGTGTTTTAGGATATTCTCATGCTGCTTAGATTATTTCCCTTGACTATGTGTCAGCGGTGGCGATGACAGGCCTCTTTTGAATGCATAACCTTTTACACTTTTATGGCTTTCAACAAGTGCGCTGGCCAGAAATTGTTCCCAAAGCTAGAGAGCTGACAAATAAATTTGCGGGCATTTGTTAATTAAATTCTTGAAGACACATTCGGCAGTTGGGTTTTGCATATGTGCAAAAGTTTACACTTGAGATATGGAAAAGTTGTTTGTGCCTTTGTTGTTGTTGTTAGTTTAGGTCTTGTTTTCCCTGCCCTGTGGAAAGTTTTTCCCATTGTTTCATGATCTGAAATTAATATGGCGTATACGTAATGCAATAAAACGAAATTGAGCCCCAAAAAGAGAAGGCTCTCCTACTAAATGTTTAGCCAATTATTGTCTAGATGGGTCTGTTTTTAGAGGCAACCTACGTTACCTACAATTTGACCCAATGAAGGGCACTTTAAAGTTCAGCCAGGCACACAGTTCATTAGGCAGGTCCTTTCCCCTCAGTCTTAATCCTTTTTCCTTGAAGATCTTATATAGTGCCTTAAGTCCCTATAAACCATGCTTAAGGGTCAAGTTAGTAGAAAAAGAACAAGGATGTTGGGGGAGTCAGTTGGTTAAACTTTAAGCTAGTGTCATATGATTTCTAGTTTTTGTTATTATTTTGTAAAATTTTTACAACCTAAACGGCAATTCATCAAATATTGGGGCCAGCCAAAAAAAAAAGTTAAAAATTTCATTAATCCCAATCGTTGCTACAGTCTCTCGACTCCCAATGGAAAGCCACCGCTTTCCTGCTAGTTGATATTCCAAACGCG